AAACTGACGTGGTAAAGTGACGCTTCCCGCACGCTAGATCGGTGTTTTATTAGGTATTTTACAGACGGGAGTAGAATTTTTTTTGTGCCTCTATTAAGAAATAGATCATTGTGTCTTTGAAAATAAGTGAATGCGAAGTCGTTTGTTACATTTGTAACATAAACAAATCGAAGACGTCTTTCATATACGTGTTACTCTGATTGTATCTAAAATGTTAAAATATAAACAAGCATCAATAAGGTTAAAACTTTATAAGCAAAATCACTCTCGTGCCAAGTAAAGCTAAGCAACTGACCTGTTTCGTCATGCCGCGTCGAATCAACCACACTTCATTCGGCATTTTCTTGCACTTCAACAATCATTCTACATACACAAAAATATTTCGATCGATAGCAAAGTACAAGTCAATCAATAACAATCAATCGTTCGGACCACAGTTGAGTTTTTTTTAGATAATGAAAATAAAACAGCTTTTTTTTATTTAAAACATTAATGCGTAGCATCAAGTTTTGTGGATTTGCAATATATTGGGTAAAGCGAATTTAAATAACTGCGATAACGACATTTTTAACTGAACTACGGAGGTAGTCTTTAATTTAATTAATGTGAAGAGATTTTTTTTTAATATTCATACGAAGAAATGTTATAATTTAAAGCATTACCAAATATTACCATTGAAAAAGCTGGTGTAAGTAAACACATTTATTCAAAAAAATGCTCTATATTGTTTTCCCCGGTAACCTTTTTTTGGCGATAAAACTTGGGAGGAAAAAGAGCACCGATGACAATAAAAAGACATGAAAATTCTAATTGTACGGAATTTGCGTTATTGGGATCAACCAATATTGGGGCTCAATTAGATATTGCGTATTGCGTAACTATACAGAAACAACAGAAAATGAAGATGTGTGAAAAAATAAATATATGAATGTTATCAAAAATTATTAATTGAATTAAATTTTTCGGAGCTTCTGAATTGGCTCTCCCTTGATCCGGAATGATCTGTAGTGCATGCTCAAAGTTTGTCGTGAACAAATAATTGAAGAAATTAATAATTCTCCATTTTTGGTTAGGGTAATTTTTTCATTGCAGAACAGAACTTCCATCACTGCTTTGAATTAGTTTAGTTTGGTAACTAGCTATTTTTTGTTAATTTCCATAAACGTTTACTGTTAATCTAAGGTCCGAACTTTTTTTGTAGCTATACTCTTCCTTTTCCGGTTGGTCATTATCACTATTTGAGAGGTTTTCGTCCAATGAACACGGCTGACGTCATCATCTTCATATTCTGTTCTAACTTGCACCCGCCCCCTCACTAACTGGGTGGATAAGGCAAAAACAGGACGTATCCCAGGAATCTTGTAACACTTCTCGAGTAGTGAGTTAAAACACAGAACTATAGAGTTGAACCACCCTACTCCGCAAGGGTTAATTTATTTTTTTCTTTGTTATTTCTTGCTCGAGATTTTAATCAATGAGCTTGCGGCATTCAACAACCAACGTGGTCACTGAAAATGCCTGGACCTAGTTAAATATTCTCGTAAAACAAGTAAAGTGTGTGGAAATTGCAGTTTAAAAAGAATATGCCACAAAATACAGGTTAATGGGTGAAATTTAGAGGCACGCGCGGAAAATCATTACCTTCTCTAAGAATATGCCGCCTGCGGCGAATCAATTTTTGCCGTGCTAGGGTCGCTATATTATCTAATAGCTATATGATAGCAACCAATATTTACGTAGTACTTTTCACCTTATTCATCCTTTGTCTAAATTTTATGAATAACTTATGCAATCTCTTTTAGTTGGGCGTCTGTAGGAATTGGGCTCTAAAGGATCCTGGTCCAATTCCAATTCCAGAAACATATTCTCCAAAAATAATATTTAATTAAGATGATCATAAATAAAAATTATTCGTCTTCTCGCAAACCCTGGTATTATATTTCACTTGATTTTGGCCACTTTCTAATGCTTTGCTAATTTTTGGTCAATTATATAGTTTTGTCGTACTGGATAGTTTATCCTTTCCACCGTCCCGTCGGATGCGAATCCGCGATTATTCGTATGACTCAGTGATTAATAATCGCGTTTCGCCGTAATAAAGGCGAAACAATGATGGCGTCACTGGTGAACGTTCAATGCCGTTCGTGCCACTCGTTTGTCAATTTTTTTCTCTCGCACGCGGCGTCCGGCCGTCTGGAAGAACATTGGACAATACTAAAGAGGAAATAATCGAACGAAAAACGCGATACGGTCCTGCCCGGTCGGTTTTCGGGCTCGCGTCACGTGATTCCGTTGACAGCGAAAAATCGGAATATCGACCAACCGTTTGGATCGTGTCCAGCTAACCGGGCGGGCAACAAGTGTCCCGGCGCCAAAAATATTGACCGCTGGCACACACGAGTGTAAAATGTTTTTCTAGAAGCTGCAATTATTTAATATTGTTGGGTAACGCCGGTTACGCAGACAATCAGCCCTCGCGGTTGAGAGTGCCTTGACTATACAAGCCATTAGTTTGACACTTATTGCCCCTTTTACGGCTTTCTCGTCGGCTTGCAATGGATTGGAAAAACTTAAGTGTTTAACTAAGAGGCAACTACGTAACGGTCGCCGTTTAATTTTTAGTAACGACGGTTTTTGCGTAACTTCTAATAATACACTGAAACCAACTCGCAAATGCCGTCCTGTTATTAAATCCAGCGCCGCCCTTTATTTTTTGCATATTTCAATACCGATCGTTATTGTTTACGCGGTTTGCATACGTTTATGCCGCCGCCGCCTCCGTGAGATCAAACTTTATTTTTAAGTCGGCGGAAAAAAAAATCACGACCAATCGTGATTGAAACGGAATTAGTAATAATTGCCGCGGCGATTAGTAATTCGCGTTTGTTTGTTTTTTTTTCCGCGTCCATTGTCTCCGCTGCCTTGGCCGATCGCGGTTGGAAGAGCGAAAATTTTCTTTTTTTTGCCCAACCAAAATCTCTAATTTTTTTAAAGCTCTTCAGCAATATTGCAAGGCCTCATTGTATTGTATTTTTAAGGTATTCGTTTCGACTTAAAATGGGACTAGCAACATATATTTTTTGCTTTTCTTTAATGATATGTAATAAAACAAATAAATAAAATGCAAAAAAAAAATGTGTTGTTTGCTAGGTGAATAATTTTTTCGAAATTGGGAGCTGGGACGGGCTTCGAGCCTCCCAATTGTATTTTTGTTTGTGGGTTTTCAACTTGATAATTTTTTGAGCCCCCTCAAGCGCCTCAATGATTGGTTATTATTTTTGGTTACGGTTTTCAATTGGTTTTATTAATTTTTATGATTATGAATATTAATAAATTTATTAATTTTTTGATAATGTTTGGAAAGAAAATGGCGTGAAGTAGAAACATGCGCGGAAAATCATTACTACGAAAATATAAATACCGCCTGCGGCGCATCAATTTTTACCATAGTAGAGTCATAATTTCCATAAAATACAGCTATATGGTTTCCATAAAACATTTACAACTTCGGTTGCGGGACAAATCTTAAGCCCTTAAGCGCAATATGGCAACAGCGCGGTTGGCGCATTATCCCGTCCGCAATCGTCAATCCTACGTATGTGGATAAAAAACAAAAGCTGCACCTTGAGAGTTCATCAAATGAATTATTTCGCCTATTTTTTGGCCCAAGGTCGGAAGGTTTCGAATCCCCTCAGGCCTTTTTACCTCCGCTTGTGTGGCTTTTTTCAGTTCACCCGGCAATTTTTAAACTTGTAAATAAAAAAGAATACTGGAACCGGTCGCCGTCCCACACCATTTCGTTTTATTTTCCGGTTTAAACCGGCGAAACGGCTGCGGTCGGATCGCGAAAACCGCGCGAACATAAAGTTTCTGTTTCTAATGCGATTCGCGATAATCTTCCTCGTTTCCCAGAAATTCCAAGATAGGTTGTGTGAGCGGCTTGCGAGTCAGCCAGGGCCAGCTTTGCGTTTATAGACCTCAACTCAGCGTTCGATTAATTTATCGTTAATTTATTAGTTAGCTGCCAAAATTCGAGGTTCTAGCTTTTTTTCTGGACTTGTCTTGCATTTCGCCTGGTGTGTTCTGGAATAAAAGTCTGAACGCGGCGACCTTGTAAGACGTGGTTCGCGTTAACCGCGCCAACGCATTTTTAGGATTTACATTCGGCGGCGGTTGGTACCGATGGCCTGCACCATTACGCATATTTACTCGTTTTTTTCCTTTTTCGAGTTAAATAAATTGCATTTTAGATATCGTCCCACTTGAGCGACGACGCACTTTGTAGTTTTTAATTTAATGGTTTTTGAGTTTGAAAATTCAATTTAAAATTATTTTTATAGTTGATAATTCTCTTGGTGAACTTTATAAAATATTTATTTCGTTTTTACAGAAAAAAATGTATTTTTTTCGGGTTTTCGGGTTAAGCAGCGGAAAAAGCACGTCTAGTTTTTTTTTCTACCAGGTCCGAACTAATTCTTAGGGACAGTACATCGGCAACGGTTAAAGTTACTTTTTATTTCTGTTATTTCTTTCTGATGATGATATCTTTTGAAATTAATTTCGTATTACCATAGCAACTTTTTCTCGTATACAAAGCTGCAGAATTACATTTGAAGTCCCGACGTCTCTTTGTATGCCATTTTAAAAAATAGGTTTCTTCAAAATCCCTTGCAAAAAATGCAAAAATTGTTCGTTTTAGTTGAGGTAAATTTTAATAATATTTTACACAGCAAATTTTGTTTTAATTTGTCACAGGTAACTTTAACCGCTGTGGATATATCAATACGATCCGTATGAATTAGTCGAGAATGTATTAAAAAGTAAAGGTGCGCAAGGGGGGGGATAAAGCACCCCTGATCGACCGATCAGGTTTCGATATCGAAAACTTTCATCCCGCGATCGCTAAAAAAAGACGCGGGGTGGCGGGGGTTGTACGAGACGTGCAGGAGGGATGAATGAAGCGGGCGCGCTGGCGGTCGGTGGTAAACATAAACATTTACCTCGATTCAATAAGCCACCTGCGTCTCGCGCTCCGACGGCCGGCACTCGCGTTCGCGCGTTTATCGGCCGTGTCACCGCCGCGGCACACTCGATCCGCCTCGCACAGATTCGCGTCGTCTTCTTCGTAATTTAAAAGTTTCGTCCGTCTAATAAACATCGCATCCGTATCGTGTTTGTGTGGCGCGGCGCGTTCCTCTCGCCAAACTCGAACGTAATAGCGGCCCATGTGCAGTTTTGATTATAAAACGGCGTCTATTTTTAGCCGTGATGTCACCGTGCGGCCCCCCGATTGGTCGGCCGTGACATAATGGCGCGCGCGGATTGGCGAACGTCTCGAGACCGCGGCGCTTGCTTTAAAGTCACGACTTTTTCGCGCGGTGGGGAATGCGACAGAGATGGAGACCGCGCGGTCAACATTTGTTATTGTTTTGAGGGGTCGGACTGGGCGAAACTTCGCGCACGGGCATGACAGGGTTGAGACGAGCGGCTTCGGTGTTGTCTGTTGTACGATTCTTTCGCTAGCGTAAATACGTAAACGCGTAGTTGGTTGCCTACATTTTTTCCATCCTGATCTCTGCCGTTGTGATAAGTTAATTGGTATGTTACGAATGTGAATGTGAAAATACCTTTTTTAGACGGTGCGGGTAGGTTTAATTTGCCCCCTGTTCGCCGCTAACCTTTGGTCAGTCGACTGCGCCCGCAAGTGAATTTATAATCGCTTTGAAACGTAACTGAATCAAAAGTTTGTTATTTTGGGTCGAAGCGATAACTAGAGGTAGGTCAGGGGAAGTCGAGGGAAACGTTGCACAGGGCGGACGTTTTTTCCAGCCCGATTCCAAAAAGTTAGAAATCGGTAAAAAAATTGTGTCGTTTGAAATAATTTTGTTCAGTACATCTTTTACTTGAATTGTTAGAGGTGTAGTGCCTAGTTTTGTGTGGATGTCTATGGATTTGTATGCGTTCAGTTTGCGAATTTCTTGTATTCACGCTGGTATCTAGGCCAGATAGGATCAGATGTGACGTATGGAGCCATTAGATGAATCGGTCGTTTTTTTGATGATGATGGAACTTTTCAGAACCTTTATTTATGAAAGCATCCTTCTTGTTGTAAGCTGACCGAATGACCTTATCTAGTTGTGGCCATTAGAAGTAATTAACAAACCAAAGGTAGGTCAAGGTGTTCTTTATCTTAAATCTTGAAGTTTTTGGTAACTTTTGATATTGGGACTTACCATTTTTTCTAATGTTCCCAACAATGTTGCGAGCGAAGTGTGCATACAAAAATCAATGGTCCTAGAAAAAGTAATAGTATTCAACGCGTTGATAAACTTCTTCAGCTATTCATTTAAGTATTCGCTGGGGTCGGGCCAAATGCCACATTTCCCAAATTTCGAATAAAATTATTTCATTTCTATTTATAAGTTAAAGCCCGTACCTACGTCATTTTTGTTATTTATCCAAGGGCTCTGTTTGGATTAAACTCAAAGGATCAATTTATACAGACAAACCGATTACTTTTGTTAGAGTTAACTACTGTGCTGCTTTAAATCGTTACAATCAAGTATCTATGTTTAGAAAAGCGTTTTGTGGAATCTGTGATAACCGATTTTTCATCAATTTAAGATACATGTGGCAATGTTGGACAGGCCTAAGTTTATCTGTAGTGTTATAACTCATGGAAAATATGGATCTTGAGTGCTTTTTTTTTAAACACGAAAAACTGAATGATCAGCAAAGGAAAGTATGTTAGAGGAGGGAAGCGAGAAGCCAAATAAAACGAGCCTTGTAAAACGTGTTTTATTCTTGATCTATTTGGGGGGAGGTGAGAACTATATATATAAATATCTTGAAAAAGACCAGGTAGATATTATAACTAAAATATCTAATAAAAAAGTAAACTGTACAGTTAAAAAAACAAAAAGCACGTGCGTGTGCGCGTGTTAGGGTCTGCGGCGGCGCCGACCCTTCCGGGGGAGGAGAGCACCGGAATCCGAGCGGACCAAAAACCGAAATATATTTAGACTTAAGCGCTACAAAAATGGGACTGTTCACTAAAAAAAAAAAAAAAAATTAAATATACATCTCTTTCTCTCTCGTCATCTGCCCCAAAACTCTCGCGGTAGCCTTCTCACCCCGCCCCCTTATTTTACACCGAATCTGTGAGCGTTTGCCTCCAGGTGGCGTGGAAGGGTATCTTCAGTATCTTGACACGCGTCGTCGGTAAACTGTTCAGCAGCAATTTCTGCAGATTGGGCAGAGGCAAGATTTCGACCTGCGGCGGGTTGCACGCGGTCTCGATGACGTCCGTATGGGTCAGGTCGGGTACCGGCTTGAGGACCGGTATGCTATCCCCGTTTCCGGTAGGTCTCTTGTCTTTTTTGTCCTTGGGCTCTTCGCACTGGTCGACGAACAGTTCCGTAACCCGCAACAGTTCAAGCGTCACGCCCCACACGAAGTGGCACAGGCTACCTGGAAACCGTTTTAGCATTGACAAGAAAGCATTACCGCGACCTACAAATCTGAAGCGTAAGCGATTTGTAACAAAACTTGACGTAGGCGTGAACAACTCACGGCACTAACGGCAACCAAACGGCACTAAACAGTTCCAAAAATACAAAATAAAAAATGTAGATTTGAACTGCTTTATGATGTTGAATTTTGAGTGAAAAATTTCATAAATAATGTAATCAAGGGCATCGTTTTAATTTTAACGTGATGCAAATATCTTGATAGGCTGAGACAAGATTGCCAGTGCTGGACATCGCTGAGGTTTTTTTACTGATACACCAAACAGAATATTTTTATATATCCCAAAGCACAAGTAAATTAGAAATTTAACTGCATATTAACCAATAAACCAATAACCGATTACACCAGCTTTTAATCTCGTGCGGACTTTTTTTACGAAAAAAATTAGTTTTTCAAAGTTAAGAGCTGTTTTTGGATATTGATGTTACAAAGACTGATAGCAAAAATTCCGCACTACTGTGAAGTTCGCAATGAACTTGGCGGTTTGAAATGTCATTTTATGTCTACGTAAACAAATTGAGGACGTGTTTCATGCGGTGTACTTTTCTTTTCTTGTTTTGTGTATTTGCACTTAGTATTATCTAATGTAGGTTTCCCTATTTAGGCAACACTCCTCACTCGTCCCTTGCCTAAATGCCTATGTTTGCATCGCAACAATAGTAAATTTATGAATGATTTTTGTCTTTTAGTTGGGCGTGTGTGAAAAATTTTGTCTACCGTTTTGAAGAAACGGACGCCATCTGCGAACTCTAAAAGCGAGCCCGACAAAAATTGGTAACAGTAAGATATCCAAAATTCTGGAGCCGTCTGAGCAATGCTTATCTCCGCATTTTTCTTAACGCTACATTTGATCTACTATTAATTACTCACCTCGCAATCGCAGTACGCCCGCAAGCACCATATTATTTGTGGTCGCGCTTTGCGAAATATACGTCGGGATAATCATCAGCTTCTTTATGTTGTGGCACCCACCGAGGGCTTTATCGAAGCCGGTCTTCACATCAAAATTGACCAACTCGAGTTGCTCGAGCTTCTTCATCTTGCGCACCGCGTCGAAAATTTCGAACGTGTGACAATTACCCTGGCCCTTTTCTAGACGGAGCTTTTCAAGATGCTCGAGCTTGCTAATCACATCCTGACCAAAATTCTTTGGGAAATCAGTACACTCGCCCAGGTCCAACGACTCGAGCTCCGTCAGTTCGGCGATGACGTTCACGTCTAGCTTGTGCAGGTCGACAACCGACGTCAGCGACAAGATCTTTAGCGTTTTTAGCTCCTTAAGGGCGTCGATGGAGTTTACGCTCAGTCCCGTTGTCGACTTGAGCCTCAATTCCCTGATCCTGGTCAAGTTTTTGAGCGATGTGAAATCCATCGACTCGCACTTGATCGTGACCGCGTTGATGACCTCCAGGTCCGGATTCGTGACCGGTAGGCGTTCCACGACGCCCGCTGGACATCGGCACAGCTCGATCTTGCGCAGCGTGTCGACACGCTCAATAGCGTCCGAAAATTCGGTCCACACATCGTCACCCGCGCTGGGCAGCAACATTTTTCGCAAGTCCAGGTGCACGGTACCGTGTTTCTTAAGGGTGTTGGCCAGACCTTCGAAACTGTGCACCTGTGAATTTTTCATGCGCACGGTGCGCCACAAGACAGGGTGGCTCGCTATGTCGCGCCACATAGTGCACACGCATCCCGCACGCAGCAAGTCCTGGACCTTCAGGTACTGGAATACATATAGCAGTGTGTTGTATCCAAATGACAGGTTCTGCAGGTAGTTTTCCATGAACTTTGCCTCGTTTTTGTCGTCGGTAGTGGAGGACCCACCGCCGGTGATGCTTCTCAGTTTGAAGTTACGTTTAGTGGTTTTCGCGAGCGACGGCGAGCAAGAAGAAGCGTTCATCGACGTTCTGCAACAAGCGAGACGTGAATAAAAGCCCCCGGTCTCGTGTAGGACGCGACGCGCGCCTAGAACGTCGAAATCTAGTTAACGCGGTAAGGGTGGCGCATTTGACCTATTCGTTCTTACTGGTTGCGTTCGCGAGCAATATAACGCGGAATGCCAACAGTTAGTGTTAATGATTAACGTAGAAGACTAGTCGCGCGGGGTGCATTTGAACTACTCCAAAATTTACTAAAACTAACTTTTTGATTTGAGATTTGAACTATGCGTCTGTCCCAACAGTAATTATCAACATTGGATGCGCAATGTCATCAATCCAAACCCACCTTTAAAATGCACACAAAAAATATCACTACCCACCGCCATAAGAGATCGTACTACCTCTAATTTTCCAGAATTAAGTGAATAATTAATTGAGAATTTTCTATCAATTTATCTCGACCGCAATTATTCAGATTCACCTGGCACGCACATGGGATACCGCAAAACGCCAATGAAATACGACCACCACCGCAAGGTACATTTGAACTACTCCGCAATTAAAGGAAGGTGTCGGCCTTCGAATTACCGTCATGGTGCGACGTAAATAGAAAATTTCAAAAGGCGCGTTAGAACTACCCATCCTCCGCGACCCGAAGTACGGATAACGGATTGAAAAGCGCCAAGCTACATTCGAACTACCCTGTCGCGGAAAAAAAATGTATTGGAAGAGATTACGCAAGAGAGCAACTCGAGGGAGGAGGACAGGGAGGAGGTGTAAGGTTCCTGCAAAAACGTAAATGAAAAATTAAGATACCCGCGCGCACAAAAAAATAAATAAATATACACTCACTCTATATTCGGAGGAGGGGCGTCAGATTTAGCCGCGTCCATCGCCTCCTCGCTCTGGGAGCTCTCGGGTTTCGACGGCGACGTCGGCTCCACTTTGACGTCCAACGAAAACTGCTCGGCGTCGGCCGCGTCCGGCAGCTCAGGGGCGGCGGCCGCAGGTCTCTCCCCTTCCGCTGTTCGCGCCGCCATATTCGACGACACCGACATGTAGTTGTGTTTTGGTATGACAAGAAACTTGCGGCCCCCCATAAACTCGAGATACTGAGGCCTCGGTGCCTCCGCGGGCTCCGCCCCGTTTACGATTTTCACGTTTTGCGGTAACCACGTTGTCACCGACCCGACGAGGGACGACTTCGCGACGGCCGCCTCCGACGCCACCGGGAGTGGATCCGCAGGTCGGGGCGTCAGTTTCGGCATTTCGGGCAGCAACGGCTCGGCCGTCGCCGCCGCGACGTCGTCCGCCCGTGGAATCCGCTGCAATTTCGGCATCGGTCCCGGACGGGGCGGCGCTCCCGTCGGTTTTAATGAGTTTATCGGGGTGAGAGGCGGCGGCGCCACTATGGTCGTCGACTGGTTCGGTTTCTGGCCTTGCTCGATGTGACAATTCTGCCGGAGAGAGAGGGGTGGACATTCGACCTACTCGACGGAAGAATGCGCGCGCGCATACCTTGCAGACGTAGGGAAGTGACAGATGAGGCGTGAGTCCCACACACTCGTGGTGGTACAGGCAGAGGCAGAGGCGGCACTGCAGGGTCGGCACGAGGCCCTGCACCCCTTCGCACCTGATGGAACACGGCTGACAGGGTTTGCTGCTGCTGCTGTTGTTGCTGCGGGGGATGGGGGAGCGCGGACGGGGCGGGAGGGGGCGGCGGAAAAACAGAACACATTAACCATGGTTGCGTAATCTTCCGTCCAATACGTTTACGATTTTTAAGTTACAGGGAGGGACCGCGAACGAATTATATATAAGTCAACCGGGTAAGGGGTGGTGGGGTGGAGCGACACGAGACAAAATTTGACCGCCGCGAGAAACCTGCAATTGGGGGAACTTACTTGGATTTGACGGCGGTGCTGCTAACGACGGCTTTCGTAGGAGTCGCGTCGGCGTCCGCAGAATCGTCCAACGCCGGCGCGGCGGGCGAGGCTTTCGCCTTTTTCGATAACGGCGTTTTGCCCCTCTTGGGTGACAGTTTAATCTAAAATATACCCGCGGCGTCAGGTTAGAAATCACGTCAACACGGGGGGGGGGGGGGTGATCCCTAGTCTGTTTATTAAAAATTTCACTCTTCTACAAAAATAAAATCCCATCTTTTTGGTAATGCTGTAAATATTTCAACATTTTAAACTTAAAAAGAAAAACGTTACTAAAGAAAAATTTTAATAAACAAATAATTGTCCAAAGAACGGAAAAACTGAGATCATAAGAACTTAAAGCAAAACTAACCACCGATGGCGTAAACTTTGAACAAAAATAAAATAGAATAAAAACATTTAAAATTCATCTTAGCGCAAACTTTGTCATGTCATTCGGGGTAAAACGGCCGAAGCCTAGCTACTAAGCTTGCTTTTTTTAAACTTTTGTGTCTTCCACCACTTACCTTCTTCGCAGGCCTAGCAGCTTTGGGCAGTGGGTCCACCTTCCTTTTGGCCGCGACACCACCTTCCACTACCTTGGGGGCGGGCTCAGCCTTGGCCAGAATCGACTTTTTCGCCTTCTTAAAAAGCTCCGTCCTCTTAGGCGGTACGGGCGAGTCTCTCCCCGACTCGGACTTGATTTTCGCATTGCGGATCATTTCCTTTTCAGGATCCTCCACGCCCAACGGTTCTTTGCAGAATGAAAAATTCTCAACGGTCAAATTGCGATTGTTTAAGTGATCCGCCAGTTCCCGAAAGGAGCGAACCTTTTTTCCGGTCGGTGTGTAATAATAAATATCTCCCAGCGGTTTCAAACTGGTACTGGTCGAACGCCACACCAGTTCCCGTTTCCAACCGTACTTGAAGGGTTTCAGGTATTTTGGATCCTGTAAGTTTATAGTCGGTGTCGACGACTGGCGTTGCTGCTGCCTTTTCGACGATTGCAAGGACGGGCTGCCAATTGGCGAATCCGTTGGTTCTTCTTTGATGAGGATGTCTTCCATGTCGAGGTCGAGACTTTTAACCGAAGACCCCAACGATTTTCTAACGCTTGACATCGCGATGTCGCTGTACCTTTTGTTGGGAATGCGAGCCCGTTTCCCCTTACCCATCGTGTCGGTTTCCGACACCGTTTTCGGCGTTTGGTCGGCTATAGATATTAAATTGTTATTTTTGTTTTTCAATTTGTCTAAGTCATAAAAATTTAGACTGTGGCGATAAAATAATATACGGGGCTCCTTTAGCAAGTGACTAAACTTAATGGGAGCAATTGTCCCAAAGTCTCCAAAAATTAGGCCCACAATATTTTCATTCGCATTCATAAAAATCCAGATCATTTTATTTAAAAATATGAAAATTGGACTACAAATTTTGTAAATCTGACCAATCACATTCACACAAATGAAGTACACTTCTGGTACCTTACGGTCACCCAAAATTTTTGAACCAAAGTCAAGGTAAAAAAATTTCCCATTTTCTCTCATTCACCCAAACCTAAATTAGCCGCCAATGCGTAAAAATTGCAGTAATTTGATTGAATTATTTAGTAGCTTTTGAAAACACATATTTTCAAAAAACCATCAGTTCAGCTTTGTAACCCTGTACAGGTGAACATCGTTTTTGCACTGGTTCGATTTAATCCGCTTTGTGCTCGCATGGGATTCCTCTGTTCATGTATGACCAACTCAAATCAAGAATTATAAGAGCCAATGAAGGTTTCCGATCTCTTTCAATCAGAAAATCCTGAATATAAAAATGAAAAAAAAAAAAAAACAAAGATGGGAACATTGATGACTGATCTAACTCATATTATTTCTTCTATAGAAAAGTCAACAGATGAGCTCTGTTAGATAGATGGTAATTTCAACTGAAGCACAAATGTTGAAAGAAACGCCCAGCTGACAGCTCAATTAAAGCAAATGAAATTGGAAGTGAATTAGTATTTCTAATAGATATTATTATGTATTTTCTATAACAAATTTAGACTGCAATTATTAAATATATGATTTATTTTGAATATATGTAGGATATATATTATATAAATATACTAGGTTGTTCTTAGTATTTTGACACCAAACCTAATCTTATATTATTCATTATATTTGTGTTCATTTTATGCCATTTTGTTTTTAATGTAATGTAAAACGATGTAACCTGTATTTTAAAAATGAACAAATTGTTTACATAAACTCATCTCTATTTTAAGATGGTGGTGGTTAAAATATTGAGGTCTAATTTCAAAATATTAGTAAAAACATTTTTTCCTAAAATAAAAAAAAATACCAAAGAATAAGAAGCTAAGATCATTTTTCAATTTGACAGTACAGGATTTGAGGGAATCAGTCCCTGATTAACATAAATAGCAAAATCTAAACAAAGTAGCCAAAGGAGTATTGCCATTCATTTTGGAATAAAATGATTTTTTAATATAAGCCCTTAACGTTTGGCCAACAACTTTACAGTATAAAATTAAATAAATGTGGATGATTCCTAACCTGCAAAACCAGCAAAATCATCACCGGACTCATCGTTCGTACAATTACCCAGATCTGGATCGTCAGTGGATTCTGTAAATGTTTAAACATTGGTCAGATTAAATTTATTACCATCAAATACATTATCAATGAGACACCGCAATGAAAAATTTGGCGGGTGACATAATCAATGGCACTTTTTTTTTGTGTATCATCATATAGGAAAATAGGTGAATAAATGCAATTTAAAACAAAATACACAATCTTTTACAACTTTGAGGTTATGAAAAAACCAGAATTTTTTTTTCATGAAGCCACGCCAATACCATGCAAACAGCATATAGGAAAATAGGTGAATGAATGCAATTTAAAACAAAATACAGAATCTTTTACAACTTTGAGGTTATGAAAAAAACCAGAATTTTTTTTTCATGAAGCCACGCTAATACCATGCAAACAGCAAGAAATATATAGATATCTAGTAGTAATATCAGATATATAGTAGACTCATAATCATTTATAGGCAATGAATGCATTAATATGTAACTTTATGTAAGTTACTGTGACATCCCTATCTACAAAAAGACAACATTCCTTACAAACCTTTACTGTCGTTAGCGCTATCATTTAAATTTTCGCTGCTCTGGTGCTCTTTGCGGTTCTCTACGTGCTCAGAACTATGCGTTTGGTTGCCAGTTTCATTCTTTGAGCGAACCTCGGAATCTGTCGCTTTTCGTTTAACTCCTCGCGTTTTGTTCTCTACATGATTTACCTGTTCGATACCCTTATTATTTTCCACCGGTTCGTCGATTTCTTTGGTTTCAGCAGACGCCAAGCCATTGTTGGTACTCCCTGGTTTGGCCTTCTCATAATGTTCACTTTCCTTTCCCACGTCGTCCGTTTCTACGTTTTTATTCGGTTTGCTTTCGCTAGTGGAGTTCTTGCTTTCCATGTTGAAAGCAACACTAAATTACACAACTCGAAAAAATCGTAGCACTACATTTGAACTGATGCACGCTTGCCTTTATGCAAGCAATGTTCTACGTTGATGCGTCATTTGCCACACGATTTCGCGTATTCGCACACGGTCGCTGTAAATCTGCCTGCTAAACGATTAGTTTTTCGGCAGTTCGTCGAGAACACAGAATTGATTGCAATATCGGTAGTTCTTTTTGTTAAAAACCAAATGACGGAGTTTGATCGGCAACCAAAATCAGCAGTCAAGCTAGATGGCGCCAACGTCTGCGTGAACATGGCGCGCAAACCGAACGCGTAACATCGGACCAGAGAAAAAATTGATAAACCAAAGAATATAAAATTGTAAAAAATATGAACTACTTCATGAGGCCAAGTTGTATTTTAATTTTTACAAGGTATATTTTCCGAAATAGATCGCTCTCTAGTACCGAAATTCGCCATGGAAGATCACGATTTTAAAGTCCAATAAAAGCTTTTCCGGCCTGTTATACGCCTGCGAGTATATCATCTGTCAACCTAACCTACCAATTATGTTTAACTAAGCGTAAATCATTTTGGTGGCTCAGAGAATGATCAAGTTCTTAGATTAGAGGAGTTAGAAAAGTGGATCAATGAGTTAAGATGTTGAAGGAAAACAATATCATAGGGAGGTGCAACCCTTGTCAAAAAATTTAAAAATTACGTAAAGAACCTGTTTTTGTCACAAGTCACAAGAGGAGACTGCCTACATCAGCATCTTACCTTTGCGTAGGTTGTGAGCTCGCCAGAAGTTGGTCTAAGTCAGCCACTTGTCTCAGGAAATTCTTCCTATAAGTACCAGTCTAAATTGGCATCTTGCTTTATTACAGAGTCTGTGAATTTGTAACAAACTGTATATTTTTTTTATTAGGATGTGAGCAGTTTTTTCATAAAATTCTTCCTTTAACTAAGATAGTCTAAATTGTCATCCAACATTATTGTACATTTGTCACAAGTCGGCCTAATTTGGCCACTGTTCTCATAAAATCCTTTCAATAGCAGCACAGGCTGTATATTTGTCACAAGTTAGTCTGAATGAGCCAATTGTCTCATGGAATTCTTCCTACAGGTAAGATAGTCTAAACTGGCATCTTACTTTATTACACAGGCTTTAAATTTGTTACAAATTCTTCCTATAAGTAAGACTGTAAATTTGTAACAAGTTGATCAACTACTTATCTCATGGAATTCGGCTTGTGGGTAAGATGTGGGTAACGTTTAGCCAACAACTTTACAGTATCAAACTAAATAAACATCGTTTATACAATTACCCGGATCTGGATCGTCAGCGGATTCTGTAAATGTTTAAACATTGGTCAAATTAAATCTATTACTATCAAATACATTATCAGACACCGCAATGAAAAATTTGGCGGGTGACATAATCAATGGCACTTTTTTTGTGTATCATCATATAGGAAAATAGGTGAATAAATGCAATTTAAAACAAAATATAGAATCTTTTACAACTTGGAGGTTATAAAAAACTAGAATTTTTTTTTTCATGAAGTCACGCCAATATATATAGTAGTAATATAAGATATATAGTAAACATAGGCAATGAATACATTAATATGTAACTTTACCAGAACTTTAAATCAGAATCTTACTTTATTACACAGGCGGTGAATTTGCCACAAGCAGTTCTAAATAGGCTATCTCGGGGAAAATATTTATATTTGGTCTAAATTGGCAACTAGTTTCATGAAATTCTTTCTATAAGTTAGTTTAGCCTAAGTCAGTATCTTATTATATTACAAAGACTGTAAATTTGTCACAAATTGGTCTAAATTGACCACTTAGTTTCGTGAAATGCTTCCTATAGTCTAAATCGATATCTTACTTCATTACACATACTGTCCATTATTTAAATGTTTCACAATGTTTAGGGTAATATTTTGAGACTGATTCCAATTTTGTATCAATCAGTAGGAAACTGAAAGAGAGCTTACGTCAAGAAATATTTAATAAAATCTCAAGAATTGGACCCTCTATTGCTATTAAATAAGAAATGGGCAAAATTTTATCAGTCTGCTGATCCTCAGCAGGTTTATAGTATTAGTGGAGCTTGTACTTTGCAGCTTAGCTAACATGATAAATCGTCTAGTTAATTGAACATATCTGGAAACGCTTTAAGTTTCATTTTAGGTTCCAGTGAACATAACATTCTACTTGTGATATCGAATGTGATTTTGTCACAAAATCCATTTTGAAAAGCATTACTCGTATTTCTTATCTTTTAAAAATTGGAAATAAGCCATAAACTGTAACCATCTAACAAAGTTCTTGAAGTGAACTTCGATTTTAATTTTTACAAGTTATCTGGTCCGTACTAGATCACCTCCGGCCATTTCTTCAATTTTTCCGCCCGTTGGACACAAAAATTTGACTTTAAATGAAATGAAAATGGTTGAGTAGTTCGACAGATTACATACAGGTAGGCCAGTAACACGGCGGAAAAGGTGGACTTCAAAATCGTGATTCTACGTATCTAGTGATATAGTTTGGAAAAGATAAGTTGTAAATATTTAAATCGAACTTAACTTCAAGAAGTTCGTTTGACTTTTTTATTTTATCGATAAACCGTCCATAATATTAATACACTAAAACCTATGTTAGTGACCAATCTCACGTAAATTAACGGCCGTTTTTGCATTCTCCAACCTGAATTTATGTTTTCCTTTTAAGTTCTAGGACAATTGGAGGTGTTCATTTAGCTCGACTAAATATTTTGTTTATTATATACTAAAAATTGGTGGAATGAAAATTTAAATATCTGTGGTAACGAGACACACTTACCCTTTTATTCTATGGCCGTTAATTAATACTCATATAATAGTTTTGTCTATGGTTTGCTCGATGGGAAAAAAGGTTTATTTGTCCTTGGTAGTATTTTTTTTCCAATTGGAAAAAAGACCACATCGTAAGGATATCGTAACATTAGTTACAATTCTGTGGTGGCCGTAAGCCTTAAGGACGTAACGAAGTAATTCGATAAAACTCATGAAGAAACTGGAACCGCCATATAGAAATGATTCTTTCTCGTGGGAAATTAATAGTTGCGCTCGAACTGTTGTGGCTGACTGTTGTGTGTATTTAAAACCGTAGATGAACTTGTATTGTTGAGCATGACGGTAACATACACAGGGGAAGTTGCCACATGTAGGGGTTTGGGATGTTTTTTGAAGCTTTTAGCAAGGTGGTTATCCATTTTTGCTTGTTTAAAGCTTTAAAAATGTTTTCTTTGTTTTTAGGTGGAAAGGCAGCATTTACAAATTAGTATGGATGGATTTGATCTGCTTTTTATTGATTTATTATGGTTTAAATATAATCTATCGCTTTGTTTTAGACAAATATGGCCAAGAGTAATGTGGTTTGCAATTTGTATATTTTCATGGCCTCATTTTTGCGGTTTTAGATTATTCGAGACTGTTGTGAGTTACTGTTATGACTTTGGTAGTTTAATACCATTGTCCTTTGTTCTTGGTTTCTATGTATCTGTTGTGATGACAAGATGGTGGAATCAGTATACCGCTATACCATTCCCAGACCCACTGGCTGTATTTGTGAGCGCAACTGTACATGGTCAAGTAATAAATTTTCTTTTATTGTGTGATCGAAGGGCTCAAATTACTTTTTTGGCCATAGGATGAACGGGGTAGGGTAATGAGAAGAACCATTATGAGATATGTGTGCCTTTGTGTAACAATGACGTTTACAATGATTTCTCCCAGAGTTAAAAAGAGATTTCCTACTCTGGATCACTTCGTAGATGCTGGCTTGCTTCATCGCAGCGAGAAAGAGATTATGGATGATTTAAACAGGAAATTTCCCAAATATTCCAAGCACTGGTAGGTTTTTCTGCTAATATGCATTTTTTCCCATCAGTTGTTTTTATTCCCAGTTTGTTTTGTGATTTTGCCACTATAAAATTAGGGATGACTCATCACTTTTACAAGGTAATGAATCATTCATGGCATGGGCTATATGTAAAAATATTTTCATTTTTCTGTGAGATAATTATCAGAATTTTAAAAGTTGATCATTGTTATCTCTTCTCACAAACTCTGTCATAAACGAAATCTGAGTGACAATCTATGTAATCCACAATTCTCGCAAGAAACCTTGGCGGCATTTAAACTGTTTGCGTTTAATTAGCAAAATTACTTAACTACGCCTATATGTCAGTCAAGTTGTTAAGGACACCTTTCATTTTATTTATTCAAAATTTTACTACCCGCTTCTGTTTAAACACCGTTTTTCCAATACTTCCGACATTCTTTCTCGCCGATAATTCGTTTTCTAATGAAATTAGCCTTAAAATTATTTCCCGCATTTCGTAGAATTTTTCGTCTGACAATTTTCTTGACCCTTTAGTAAACGGTTACGCAACATGTCGGTATTTTTGGAGATGACGTCATCGCCAACAGATTTTTACATCTCAAGTGAATGGGTACTAAAAAAACGCGACATGAACGTGGGCCCAATCAATGCAATATTGATGTGGTGGTTTTTACGCGTCGAAATACGAAATTGTTTTGATTGCTAACATTTATCTACCGTCGCGGCACGTCGATAAAGACATTTTTGGCAAGAAACGCACCGCGCGTCCGAAAAACGTCCGCAACTTGTAGTGGACAGGTTTTTAGGTTACCGATCGTGTGGGCGTCTAGTATAATAACAAGGGCGCGGAAGGAGGGGCGGATCAGGGACGATTTCGCCGTGAAAACTCTTATAGACGAGCTGAACAAGTTCCGGGGCAAGTGCGGGCTGTTGCTAAGTTACGACAACATTAGTGTGCCGCTGGTTTACACGCAGGTACAAAATGACTCCTGCGCGCAGCGCTGCGGGTTCATCTGTCACCACTTTTTTTTTTGCTTCACGCCTACCTAGGTGGTCACGCTCGCAGTATACAGTTATTTCATAACGACCCTGATGGGTCACCAGTGGGTGCAAAATAGCAAGTACAAGTTCGACCTGTACTTTCCTGTTTTTACCACCTTGCAGTTTTTCTTCTACGTCGGCTGGTTGAAGGTCGCGGAGAGCCTGATTAACCCCTTTGGTGACGACGACGACGACTTCGAGGTATAATCTTGGTGTGAATGAGTGACGAAGGAGTAAGTATGCGTGTGTGCGACAAAGTGTAAGTGTGTGTGTATGCGTGTATGCGTGTGTGCGTGAGAGAGAGAGAGAACTAACCAGATTCAAGGACAATGTTTATACAGGGTGTTATTTTACTAATATATAATCTAATTAGTAAATATGAACTCAACCCTGAGCCAAATCGAATTTTTCTTCGGTTCAGGGCAAGAAACGGCTATTTTTCGTAATGTTATCCGGTTCAAGAGGACGATTCGATTATCTGTCAGACAATGTTGCGAAAAAATCAGACCGTGTTTGCGGCAAATAGTTCATGTCTACAAAACTAAATAACATTATGGTTCTTGTGTGTTGTTGTTAGGACGCGGGTTATGTTTTGCTTACAAACTCCGTGATTTCAATTAATTAGTAAGGAGTAGCCAAATGTCTAAAATAAAGCACGTTACTTTAAATCTGCAATTGTCTGAAATGATAAATCGAATTGAATTAGGAGAAGTGTTAGATCTATTGCTGATAAATATGGTGTCGGAAAATCCACGATTTCTGGATCAGCAGAAAAATTGTCAAACTTACCGGATATCTTGAAATGGAAAAGGCATTGTTTTGTATTTGGTTCTTCTGTTTTCTAAATTCACTTTGTTTATTAGGTATTTGTTTGTTTATGTCACTATGTAGATACGGTACATGTACACCGTGTGCCAAATAAAACGATCCACTATACGATCTGGAAAGATACGAAAAAAAGTTTCTTAGACACTCCTCAAGATTTAAAATATCATAATTTTGTTGATACAGAGTGTCCCAAAAGTGTCCTTCCAACATCAACTTTGTTATTTTAAATGGAACGCCCTGTGTATTTAGACATTTTTTGAATCCTTGGTTAAAATAAAGCTTTCTTTCTTAAAAAAATTACATTTTTGTATTTCTATGTTCTGAAAGGCTTCTAAAAAATTGACCCAACCATTAAGAAATAAAATAAATAGAATGCCCTTTTTCGAACCTTTGAAACAGTCACTTTTGGTTAGTTGAATAATGAATAATAAATAATCTTTGGTTATGTAATCAAATCTTTAATAACAGCAGAACATTAATATGCGTAATTAGGTTTAAAATGACTGTGAAGATGCTATCCGCCGCGCTATCCTAAAGGGCAAATCGTCAATAAGTAAAACAAAATAACGACGAACCAAAAAAACAAATACGTTTAGAGAACATTCAGTTTGCACAACAATAAATGTGTTTGCGAGTTTGTGAATCAGTCAGAATTTATTTGCGATTATGAACGACATTGTACCGCTATTTTGGTTTGCGTTTATTCTTCAGTATTTGATTGGACTATTTTTTGTCGTTTGAATTTATGATATTAGTAATGTTTGTATGTGCCTAGGTTGTTAGCAAAAATTCATCTAGAACCATTTGTCGTGTGAGCCGCTTAATCATATTTAGGCGTATGGTGGCCAAATTTTGAATGAAATGCAAAATAATGAAACCACTTTTTTGGAGTTTGAATTTATTTAATTTGCAATCTGCATGCTAACAGTTAACTGGGACTTCTTAGTAGTGTCGGTAGACAAATTAGTAAGATCGCTTAATCAGTTTTTTTTTTCATATTTGGATACATTAAACTAGTGTTGCCGAAATCTTGTAAACACTAACACTGAAAAATATATTTGTTGGGATTTCAATTTACGGGATTAGCAATGTTCGTTTAAAAATTCATTGCCTGGCTGATCGCTTTCATTATTTCACCCCGCCGAAAGATCAAATGGTACAAGCATTTTATACTAAATTTTTGTAGAAATTTTTCCAGAAAATCAGGCGCTAGCCGTTAGCGTCGCTCGAATTTGAGATTCATTGTTTAAATTACATGATCTCATTTCAATAACACCCTGTATAAACATGTCTCCCAGATACATGCCATTAAAGTTTTCAAAAGATATTTTTATGGAACAGACCCTATGTATAATAGATATATACTAATCAGGTCAACTGGATGGTCGATCGGAATCTCCAGGTGTCGTATCTGATCGTGGACGAGATGCACCACGACCACCCGGAACTCGTCAAGGATCAGTACTGGGACGAGGTGTTCCCGCAGGAGTTGCCGTACACGGTGGCGGCCGCTCAAGCGGAATCGATGCGAAATACTCACCCTCTGCCGTCCACGGCCAACATCGCTGTCAAATCGGACGACCAAGAGCTGATTACCCCGTCGTCACTGAAAATCGACGGTATGCAGGCCTACGTAGATAATATGCAGAGCGGGCCAATCATGTTTTCTGCGAAGCAGAGCGTCAAAAGTAGGAAGGGCTCGAAAAATAGCTTGGTCGGCGCCTCGGTGCCGGACTCGATGCCTCGAGTGGCATCGGTCACCGGTATATTGAAAAGGTTCTTCAGTAGGGAGGAGACCAAAGGCGAGCCGCCCAGCGGCGGCGGGGACGTCCAAGAGATGAACAACCTAGTGCCGCGGGAACGCTATGGCGGTAGCAGCAAGAAGGTCACTGACGAGGTCATTGAGGAGGCAAGTTCTTTTTATACGTTTGAACTACTCGGGCGAAGCATATACAGGGTCCACCATTATTATTAACACAGAATGTTGAAAAAAAAAACGATTAAAATAAAATTGAAAAAACTGGCAGAAGTCATTTTTTAAAAAGGGAAACCACCTTTTTTTAATAATATAGTTTTTGCCGTTAAAATTTTTCCTACTTGTTCTGCTCTTTGCTCTGAAAAATACTTATATGTTGTAAGTTGCAATATAAAAAATATTGTCAATAACTACGCGGGCATGCTTAAATGACTAATAATAAATAAAATACAAATTTCGCAAGGTAAATAGGAGGAATGAGAGGAATTTTTTGTTCTTGCGGTGTTATTGTCAATCTACCACAGTCCTCCGCACAGATGAGATACTTAACGTGTCAAGATTCGACGTGTTAAGTTAGTTTCAACTAGTCGAGAGTATGTATACGTAGAACCAGTGATCACGGGGTGTTTCGCATAGATACGACTCTCGAAAATCAAGGTACATTTGAACTCGATGGGTACGCCTATTTTGCTCGGCCTTCGGTACATTCGAATTACACGAGGTATGCCAATTCGTCGTTTTGCCAACAGGTGGACGAACAAACGACCCTCACGTCGCAACGGTCCGAGACCCGTCCCAGCGTGATGACCGTGTTCGGGCCTCCGCCCCCTTCAAATCCGATCAACGTACCTCACGCGAACAGTTTCACAGGGGGGTGAGAACGCGTGCGCGTTAACGCAAAGCGACGCGACAACTTTTGTATTGCAGCCGTTCGAGCGGCAGCGTGTACGATCCCTTCCCCGACATTTCAAGATCCGCCCCTGGTGGAGCAGACACTACGGACGCCATCAGCATCGGATCAGAGACGGACAACGATGCTGACGACGACTTTGAAAGCTTGAAGAGGAAGAGAGACGAGGAAAGGCTGAGCAGGTTAGAGACGGTCCGATTTAAGGGGCGGGGTATCTTTTCTATTCTTGTTTTTTTTTCCAAGACTGCACTCGATCCTAAATTAGGTAATTAGTTATTAGCTTGTACGATTAAAGTAACATGCTGTTTAGTACAATTTTTTGCGTTCTGTAGATTGAAGTTGAACCTGGCGCGGTCAGTGAGCTCCAGGCATGGCGATGAAGAAGGGGAGCTGCTGTTACGACGCAGGTCATCGTCGTCGATGCCCCAGACGCCAGTGTCGCCGCCCTCTCGCGTCGACCCTGGGCTGGATATTTAGTCAATTTTAAATACCCCAAAGTATTAAATTAGGTTAGAAGTGATTTATATGCGCGTCGGCAGACAAATTGTGTCTCGAGGATCTTTTTGAATACTTCTTTTTTTGTTTCTCTCGACAACCGTGTTGTTTTTTAAACCTTTTCCTGGGAGTGGCGAGGGGAGTTAAATAAAAGTGCCGCTTTTTACACAGTTTTATTCTCGACGAAACACTAAAAACATTTACGCACGGGCGGATGCGCCCGTTTTTCCTTAAATATACAGAAAAATATTTATGTTCATATAAACATCGAAGGAAATTTGTACAAGGTCGTACACCGGGCGTTTGAAATTGGACTCTCAACCTTGGCATCTCGGAAACAGACTTCTGCACAAAAAGTTCAAAAACTCGTATAGTTTTCCCGCAATATTCTTCTAAATAGATCGTATCGATGAGATCTCAACGCCGAGATTCCAATGCGAAACGCCCCGTACATAATATGGCAAGAGGCGTGTTACGAAATTATCGCAAAGTAAATGCGAGAACACGGTACGAAACGTATGGGACAACGAACAACCGCAGTGAAAGACGGTAGTTCAAGCGTCCCGCAGCGGGCGAAGCGATTCTTTTTTTTTAACTAAGCTAAACGGCTGTTGTTTGACTAGAGCGTAGGGGTGGAGAACGAAAAGGGACGAGAGAGGGACCCGTTCAAAAATAACGTCTGCGCCCCAAAACTATCTATGTGTGGACGTGGTTCGTCCTCCCGTGTCGGAAGCTTTCCGCAGCAAACCTCCGAAAATATAGGCGTTTAAAATTTTCAAAATAAGTGTCAAAATAATTCTAAAAAATGGAAAAGCACAATGTGACCAAGCAAAACTTTTTACATTACGTACCACACACAGCCACATACGCATACATAAAATTCTTGCAAAATCATTGACTACAAATAAATCAAACACAACGTTCACGCTATATCGTGCGTATATATTTGCCAGTTGCGCGCATAGAACATTGAGTTTTAATCATGTCTTTGTCGCGCGAGAAGAACTATGCAATTTTAGTAAAGGGTAGTGCATCCCTCTTATTGGCTAACTTGCACAAGAAATGATCGATGTTGGCGGCAAAAGAGAAAATTAAATGGCAACACCGTCGAAAAACTGACAGGAGATGGATCAATCTAGATGAATTAAGTGCGCAGACGCGCAGCTCGCTAGTGTATACGCACTCCTAGACGCTAATACAGTATTCAAAATTCGTTTTACTGAACGGGAACGATCCGTCTCGTATATATATTTTTCAGAGGTCTGTGCGCGTTACGCTAAAAATAACGCCAACGAAGATTACTTTAAACGCTAAGGACCGCTTACGTTGGACATATGACTGAAACAAAGGGCGATTATTGAACAGACATCTGAGTTACGTTTGAACTACTTCCGCTTACCTTTCAGTATATAATCGGTCAACAGAGTCGGAACGGTCGGGCTGTCTTCGTTGATTGCTTTCAAAACTGTAAAAAAAACCGAGTAAGTAATAGTTATGCATCAGGTACTGTGCGAGAATAATTAAAACAAACAAAACTAAACCAAAAACAAATACAAAGGCAATAGGGAAGTAAAGTTCTAGCATACATCTAAAAAAAATAGTTTGCGCAAAAGAGGCTGCAGTTCCGTAAAAATATAAAATTATAAAAAAAGTAAACATAAAAAATTAATAAATTTAACAAAAAAAAGTTACTATGAGCAAAAAATGTTAGTCAGATAATCAAAATAAAACTGTTTGGTCTATTGTGTCCGAAATAAACGGCGAAGATTAAGAACAATGATAATATTATTAAGGAACCGGTAGCATTTATTGAACTGAGATTGGTTTTACTTGATGAAAATCTATTTATCAAAATAAATAAGAACTAAAAGTTCAGATTTTCACGAAATTATATATTTTGACATGACAATTGTTTCGATAACACCGTGTCTTTATCAAATGTAATATCTACAAACTACCTGCTACTATATATACCGAAAAATGACCGTAAAACCTTAATTAATGTTGTGAGAATTTAAGTTCAATAAAGGAGAGGTATTTAAATTTAATTTATCGTTAGGCAATACATTCTTGTCCTAAAATTTATAGAAATTTACAGAAACCAGAAACGCATTAATGAACATAAAAGAGCGTTTAAAAACAATAGCCTAGATTTTAATTATGCTACACACTTAAACACAGAAAAACACCTTTTTGAACGACAATTTTGATATTTTACATACAGCCACAAAAAGTAGAAAATGAAATTTATTGGAAGCCATGGAGATTAACAAAATGAGACATTCAAATAATTGCTTAACTTTCAATTAGATTTAAATACCTCTCCTTTATTTTGAACTTAAATTCTCACAACAACATTAAGGTTTTATGATCATTTAAAGACTTGAATTATCATGTCAAAATATATAATTTCGTGAAAATTTGATCTTTTAGTTCTTATTTATTTCGGTAGCATTTATGAACTTTTTTTATGGAAGCTCCTAATAAAATAGTTGACAAAATTAAGACGTCATCTGAAACGCACAACAATTCATTGCTATATATAATTAGAAGTTACTCTGAAAGCATGTACATTAAACCATTCTCTCAAGAGTAAATATCAAAAATAAAATCAAAAACAAAAATTCTTATGGCCATGGCCTTTTGTAATATTTAAAAAGTGTGCGACTATATCCTGAGTCCATTGACCTCATTGATAAATGCATCATTAGCAAAGGGAGTTTTTCCTACAGCGTGTTAAAAACGGCGACAGGCATTCTGCAGAAAATTATCGTCCAATAGCGATTATTTCAATAAAAACAAAATTTTGGCTGGAAGTCAGCACGGTTTCAGAATTGGTGGATCAAATCAACCAGCGATTCATTCATTTTTGGCGTACGCTGTCAATTATATTGAGTCTGGAGAGCACCCTGCATTTTGTGATTTTAGCAGGGCGCTTGCGTATGAAGCATGAAATTCTATTGAATAGGATGGAACAATACGGAATACATGGAATAGGTCTAAACTGGTTTAGATCGTTCTTAACAAATCGTAGGCAGTATGTTGAGATAAGGCGGGAAAAGTACAATTTGTGTCAAATTAAAAAATCCCAAGTCTAATCGGTCGATAACTAATAACTGCGTATTAAGGGACATTTCATGTTCTGCGACGAACTGTATATTGAGGCATTTTTTTTCCGAAAAAATTTGAGATAGTAAAAGAAAAAAAAATATTACGCCCATAAATTCAAAAAAGAGTATTTTATTCAAGCAAGTGGGAAGCACATTTAATTACATATTCTTTTTTACTTGTCAGTGCAATATTATTTGTTTTTTTTTTTTAAATTTTGCTTCTTTTTCTCTTCTTAATAGGGCATGTCAAACTGTTTTTATTTTTATGCAACATCAAAGATAAATTTCAAAAATCAGATTCATTTGACGTGAAAAGGTGTATAGCGCAAATGGATTATATCTTTTGTGTACATATCATAACATCACATCGTTTTACTTTATGTTATTATTAATAATAGAAATATAAAATTTTATATCACCTTCAAGATTTTTGGCCTACCCCCATAGTAAATTTCGAAAAAAGAGGCAGAACTCTCATAGAACCCATTTTATTCCGTCGAATAGTGGGGAGAAGTGTGGTTTTCAACTTGCTAGAGCAGAGCTTCATTCGCAAGGAGCGAATAACTTACTCTTGATGAGAATCTGGAGGGTCTGGTTGTCGGGCGGACCATTATCTATATGGTATGGGATGACGGTGGTCAAGTACTTGGGATCCGGTGCGCCGGGCGTCCTCGCCGAGTTGCCCTTCGAATTCCGCTTCCTTTCCACGTGAAACTGCCTCCGTTTGTTCTGGACCGCCAGCAGTAGCGATATGAATGTGTTCTTCAGCTCTTTCTCATACTCCAGCTCGTCGCGGAAAGCGAGTTCGGCAATCAGCGTCTCGGAAAACTCCCTGATCAGCACCTCCAGCTCGAGGAAGAGTTCGTTCAGCTGTGACAGGCTGAGGTCGCGCAGTTCTAAAACATGAGACGACCTCGTAACGACAAAAACCAGGGCCTCCCTCTTTAGTCCAATAATTACTGTCTTCGTATAGCGGCGAGCTGAGCACTTCCTTGGCCTTCTCTATGACCTCCTTGTTTTCCAGCATCAGTGAGTCCCTGGCAGACTCGTCCGGGGAGCTTTCCTCCTGCATCATGTCGTCGATTTCTTGAATCACCTCGTCCGCGGTTTTTAAGGGTTCGACGTCGGGGACGAGACCACCTAGAATGAGCGCGTGCATGTCCAGGTCGCTGGCGACGGCCTCGTCTTCGGACGAGAGATCCAGGTCATCGTCGGGGGTGATCGGTTGCTGGCGGATGACAAATTGAACTTGGGTAAAGGTCGCTGATTTATGGTCCGCAAATGTCATGGATTCGCGAATACTATACTCCAGAGGACAGACGGTAAACAGTTTAAATAATTCTAATGCGAATAACATCTATTACGATCATTCTACCGTCATTGCGATCGCGACAGCTAGATAATATGCTGAAAACGAACGACCCAAAAGATTTGTTTACCTGTTCCAAATGCAGTGCCTCGATCTGCAACTTTCTGGCATACGATTTCGACCAATCGATAGGCAAAATGTTTCCGAAATTGCCCGTGATCGTCCACCACATCCTGAAATCCAAGAAAAAGAAAAAAAATTTAATTACATTTATTATTAACAGATCAGTTGCGATTGTGTAGGTGTAACTCATACCAAGTAAACTTTTTGTCACGTCATCGATAACATATCATCGTTAACCAAGGAAATATTCGGCGCCGGACTAAACCAATTGGAATTTAAATTTTCTGTTCGTGATTCAGTCGGTAGGTACCAATACTCTAAAAAACTTGAAGTTGCCAAATCGCTTTGTTGATATCTTCGATTGCGTTGGTTTCCTTGGACTGAACTTTGATTTTTTATAACGGTACTTACTATTAATAGTGACAAGATAACAACCAGAGAAGTGTTAAAACTACCAAAGTTGATACCAAAAGGTGATAATTAACATGTTCACATATTAACACGTTGTATTATAAGTAGGTGCAAATGAAATGCTATTTAAATATATCTTACTTCATGTTAACAATAAAAATGGATTCATTGTATTGTATTGTATTTTCTTTAAAAACCCAATTTAACGACGGTCAATGGGCAATGAACTTTGGGGGGTTAGAAAAAAATCGGCTCTTGTAGAACTTGAAGGAACCATCTACCATTGTTATCGACAAGGGTGAAATTCAGAATTGGTTAACTGAACATAAATTCAAGTATCCAAACACAGTACTCAAATAATTAAAGAGTGGTTTAACAGGGCGCATGTAGTGGACAGACAGGAGATAACCCCACTTAATATTTAGGGTAATGAATGTTACTGTTATGATTGACAAATGAGTAGATAAAATCTAGTTGTCAACAAATATCTATAAGATTAAGATTCGCTTATGTTGTAAGCAACTGTAGAGTATCCCAATTGTTCGAATTATGTTTATTGGTAAGGAAAATAGATAGCGCTAGTGCGCAGATCATCGTTTGCAGGCTGCACAGTCCGATATAAAGTGTAAAGCCGACTGACTACACACGATCCGGCAGGCCTGTCAGTTTGAACTGAATAATCCGCCTAATCATGTATATGTTCCGGTCTAACTGTCAGTTAAGACTGTTCAGGCGGACGGAGAAACGCATCTACTAAGCCGAGAAGTACTAACACGTCGTCGACTGACATTTCACCTTCGCCTGAACGTGTGTAGGGTGATCAGTCATCAGGTGGGCTGTTCAGTTCGAACTGACAGGCCTGCCGGTCGAGTGTAGCCGGCATAACACTCTCATTTTCAATCGCCATGTAAAATTTAAAGGAACTGACCGGCTTCGAAGAATTGTGTATAAAGTTTTTCTGTTTTCTAATAAAGTTGCATTCTGCGGAACTAGTGCCTCATGATTTAAACAGTGAGTTTGTTTCAATTATTCTATTCAATTAAAAGCCAGACACGGTAATCGCAATTTGCTTGACACGGTACTTGTAAAATAACCAATTTGAATTATGGAGGAGTTAAAGAAATTAAGAATCAAGAGCAGTCAATTAAATTCTAGCTTGACAAGAAATAAAAAAATTCTTGAAGCTTTAGATGTCCAAGCTATTGACAAACACAAATTAAGTTAAATTCGAGATTAGGAAAGAGTGCAGCCACTATTTGATGAATTTTCCCAATATCAGAATGATATAGAATGCCTAATTGAAAGTAGTGAAGACATTAGTGTATCGGTTGCACCCCAGCATGCGGAATACACCGAAAGAGAACTATTTGAAGCCGGATATTTCGGTGCAATTTCCAATGCAACATCGTTAAAGATATTGCCAAGAAAGTGGTCGTTCAGATTCGCAAATAAATGTTCCACAAAATTCAGGGTTTGCCTTTTCAATAAAGTTGCCAAAAATTGCGGGTTCTTTTGACAAGTATTTAGAATTTCGCGATGCATTTTCGTCAATGATAGATAAAAATCCGTCACTGGATACGGTACAAAAATGCTATTTACGCCCGCACCTTGAAGGTGAGACCGCTCAAATGATCGAATCAATGAAAGTAACAGAATTGAAATATAAGATCGCGTTGTCAATGTTTTTAATTATGTCCGAGGTTTAATTATTTGAGGTGCCATCAGTAGTTAATGAATTTCATGTCGATTTGCATAACCTTCCCGATACATTTAACAGCATGGGGTCAACCTACAAAAGAATGGCCACTTCTGTTAATCTATTTGCTTCCTAGTAAATTTGACGGCCGTACTGGGAAATTTATAAATGTCAAGATGGACTTCCTACCCTAGATGACATTAAAATATTTTTGAAAGCAAAATACGAATTATTAGAAAAATTAGAAGTCGCTTGTATTTATCAAGCATTGATGAAAATTATTCGTGTTTTTATTGTAAAGCTGCTTTCAATATTTAGGTGTCACACTGTTTTTTTAATTTCGACTGACAAAAAAGAATGACAGAAACAAAAAAGTTAAAGCTCTGTTTAAACTGTTTGAATCCTAGTCACAGTGTTCACGAATTAAAAAAAGCACCGTATAAAAATTGCTCGAAACACTTAATAGTTTATTGCATAGAAACGGGCAAACAAATCTGGCTGATCACAACCATAGTAGGCCCAGTCTGGATGGCGGCGGCAACCTGCCGTGAAGTGCGGCGCGGTCAACGCAGCAAAGCGACGCAGGACAAAAAAGAAGTGAAGGCGCGAAATACGAACGCATGGTAGTAGTCGCGACGCAAGCTCAAACAATGCAAAATTTCGAGAATTCTGGCAATTACGCGATATTAACAGCTGCGTCAGTTTTAGCCACAGTCAACTATTCTAATCGCAAAGCATCAATTTTATTAAATCCTGGATCGCAATCGAATTTTACAACTGGAATTTCTTGTCAAAAGATTAAGGCCAAGAGGCAACAACTAAATTTTGCGGTTACGGGCCTAAGCCAATTCTATTTCAACGAGTTGCAAAACTAAAATCAAGTTAAATTGGCTGAGCGGGAGATAAAACCAGCAGAAAACGTAATAACTCTACACCAGTGTCTTCTGCAGGAGAAATGGTAAAATATTTTGAAAATTAAAAAAAAGAATATGATGCCGCTATCTTATCTTGGCTCACGCAAAGACCATAAAAACATTTTCCGGAAGGAGACAAGTGATAACTAAGTTGAAAATTGCTCAAGTCATCGTGAAGCAGGAACTTTTGCATCATGAGGACCTGACAGTGGAAATAGTTCTCTTTACAGCACTTTATCACTAGTGCTGAGGCCTGAAAGTGGAGACCCCAGTTCTGTATCTGGATTTTCAGAGGATGTGTCTCAGCAGTCTCAAGGAATCGAAAACTTTGATATTTCCTTTAATTTACTCAGTGACAATAACATATATTAATAATAATTCCTACTTGTCTCGTTTAAAAATACATTACCTAATTTTTCTTTTTTTTTATCTCAATATAATGATAAGTCGTTCCTCAGCAGAAACAGCTTCACGATAATTTGAGTCAGATTTTCGAATGTCATTTGCGATAAGGCTCAAAATTTCATCAAAACACTCACTAGTCATTCTAAAATATATATAAAAGCGTTTTTCAATCAATGAATGAAATTCTCCATACTTGTTTCGTTCCAAGTTAATACCATAGACTCACTGTCTTTTTTTTCCCTAAAATCAAAAATCAGAACCAATCGTTTACTAATAAATAAATACTGAATACTTCACACTTCACATTTTCTTCAGCTTCTAAGGCAAGTAACAAAAGTGCCTCCTCAGATGATGAGTACATTGTCTTCTGGTTGAAAATAATTATATTAATAAATATAATTGAAAAAAATATATATTTCGTACGATTGATTCGCCGCGGTGTGAAGTACTAGACGAATTTCTCTGCCGCTGTCGAAGCGGAATTTTCGCTATCGCTGCCGTTGCGAATAATTCGCGATGGTTTGGGGGTACCTTTATCCCTAGACGAGGACGACGAAATATTTTTTTTAGCCAACGGTAGCACTTTAACAGGGGCAAATTCTGAATTAAAGGCATTTTTCAAATCTCATTCTGAAAAAATAAAACATGAACCAGCTAATGAAGGAGTAAACTGGCGTTTTATCCCGCCAAGAGCGCCAAATTTTGGAGGGATTTGGGAGACAGGCGTCAAGAGTTTTAAGTAACATTTGAAACCCATTATCGGAAATACGCATTTTAGTTGAGGTTGTAAATATGGATTCATCTGCCCAAATAATATCAGCAAGTGGTTCTCCATTAAATGTTGCAAAAAACTAACCTAATAAACATTGTAATCTCGTTGCTTTACTTTCTGTTTATTGTTTGTTCTTTTGATATCTAAATCTAAAGACGCATTTCAGGGATCTCTGCAAAATGCAACAAAATATTCAGTTGCTGTTCGTCATTGCATGCATATAATCAATATAAACCAGGGTCCGGTTTATATTGTTCAATATCTACCTTTCTAACATATCAATTTTTTCCTCTGTGGTAAACATGATACGCAAATAAGCGAATAAATTAAATTTATAAACAATAAATAAATAAATCAATATTGTGTCAAAAAATATTTGAATTATGATAGTAATTAACAACAAAACACGCGTCTAAGCAGGCAGCGTTCTAGCACTTGTTCTGTTCAAACGCCGTCATAGCCACCTTACACTAAATGAACTTATATTTCAACAGCAAATTATTTGTGATAGACAGAAATATTTCAAAAAGTAAAACTAATAGGCATATACAACGTTATATAAAATTGCCTTAATTTTGAATGCCAAATATGACAATATTATAAAAATAGGTAGTTTCCATTAAAAAGAATTTCATTTTTAATCTAATTTTTCGCGTGACATTTATTAATATTTATCGAAATTTTTTGTCTACAACAAAACTTACTCAGGTCAAACAATGAATGCTTTCGAATGAAGAAATTAGCAGACATTTTACGTCTTGCAACCGTCATTTTTCGCATAAAGAATTGAAAATGTCAAACATCGTTAGACTTAGGTAGAGGACATTATACACAAAATATGTCTAGCATTTTGTGTGGTATTAAAAAATGAAGTAATATACCAAGTGTTCTATTTAAACTAAGAAATTCGAT